TGAAATCTCGGTCTATAATGAACGAAAAAAGTATCATCAATCATTTAAGATCACGTGGTAGATACGTAAACAAAGCATGAACATGAAAAATTACACAACTGGCAACCGGAAACGGAATTGTAAAATTAACACACACTTATACATTTGTATTATTGTAACATATCTCATTTAGTTTATACATTCATTGTGTACAATGCGGTAACAATGTAATTGTCGATGCGGACCTTTGAACAAATAACAATCAATATTTGAAATCTGGGACAAGTAGAAAATTTTGAACGGATGCCAGACACTTCGATTTAAGGTCTTATATAAAACGCATTGCGGATAAACATTCAATTTACTGAAGTCTACCGCAAAAATTGCCTTTTGCGTAAAATAGGTAAAGTTGTGTTATTTAAAAAACTCGACTGATACTTTTATGACTAATACGTATCACCTTTGGTCGAGCATAATTTAAACATTGATTCATATGGTTGAGTCACCAATAATTTGTTTTAACAGCTCTAATTAGGTACGCTACTACTTAATTATAAATAATTTGGTGTGTGATACTTGAAGCTAGAGAGTTTTCAACTGTTCTTGATTTCTTATTTTGAAACATACGAATATAAACTAATTATGTTGTGTTTATTTATATTTTTACAGTTACGCAAAATTTGTACCAAATTTAGGGAATATAATTGGCCATAAGAGTAAATCGAACGGTTTTTAAATTATATTGTTAGAAAATATACTTAGGTAAATAATAAATTACCTGTCAAACAAGACAGATCCATTATTTTCAGGATCTACTAAAATAAGACATAGATAATTTATATAATTTATAGAAAGTGAAAAAGTCAAATTTTGCAGTTTTGAAAATGTAAAATTCTAATTTTTTAAATGGAATGAATAAGTGATCTGTACCTTGATTGCTCAGAGACAGACGGACAGAAACACAAGAACGTAAGTGCTCTCATGTTAGGTTTTTCCGCTATGCGGGTCACTCTGTAATTGGGCACAAGACTAATTAATTTTTTGGGCTGGGCGATATCACGCTTACGTACTTTGAGCCTTGGATCTATTGTCTTACTCCGAGAGCGGCAATTTGTTAAAAAAATCTGAGGATCCTCTTCGGCTGTAACTCCTTGATCTGCCGAGGTGCTATTACGGGCTCAACCAGGTCTTGTGATCTCTGTTCGGAGACTGCCTCACACCAGGAGATGATGTGTTCCGCTATCTCTTCCTCCTCGAAGTAGAAGTGACATGTGTTATCCTAAGCTGCTCTGAGTATGTTGAGATATCTCAAGGGACGGTGTTCAGTGACCCGGCCTATGGTATGACCTTAGTTAACTTTTGCTGAATACAGTGCACGAGCTGGTTTTAGTCTCCTGGAAACTGATCAGTTTCTTGGATTGTACAGGGGCAGATTCCAATAGACGTTTCCATTTCTTCTGAGCTGGCTTCACATCACTCCTCCAGTTAGACTTGCTGGCGCTCCATAGTTCCGGCCTAATTTGGGGATGTTTGGTGCCGACCTTAGCAAGACAATCAGCCTCCTCCTTACCGACTATCCCTTTATGGCTTGCACGCACACCAACGTAACAATGACCTTTGTTCACTTGGTGATCTATAACCTCGGCTCTGATGCCTGTTCCCACTCCCTTCTTCAATTTGGAGCCTTCCTCAAATTAATTGCCCTAGTTTCTAACATTGCTTTTATGAAACGCCTTGTGCACAGCTCGATATCTTTGTCTCTTGCTGCTTCATCAATTGAGTCATTGAGTGGCAGTTGAATGCCCATGAAGCAGACGAAGGTCGATTTTTTGTCAAGCGTACTTTTCTCAATCTTAGAGATGACGTTATGAAGGGCGGGCTCCGTACAGCGTCCCTTTTGGTATGCATTGTTGGTTGGTGCGAAGTGTTATTTTCTTAAGGAATTCTTCCCTTATGTATTACCTTGTGTGGTCTCACCATCATTCTCAGCGGATTGTTTTTCTCTTTTGAGAGGATCTTCCGTAGGCGAGTGGCGATGGGAACTTCTTCTATCGTCTCAGAGAATCTATCCCAAGACGCTCTTTTTGCCTTCCGAATCGGCTTATTATACTCATCAAGGGACGTTCTATATTTCTCCCAGCACCCAGTGCGTTTGGCTTTGTTAAAAACTTCTGGTGGCTTTCCTAGCTCATTATTCCACCAGGGAGTGTTTCTATTTGTTTTAACCTTCTTCAGTGGACAACTTTCCTTAAATGAGGATCTTCTGCACAGTACGTTGGTGATCACCCTGTGTAGGTTCACTTGTATAAATTTCATGTCGGTCATTATGAGACATGGAGCTATCTTTTGTCCCCCAGGACGGAGGCGTATATGAGGAGTGACGTCCCCTTTCACTTAAGCAGAAACCTTTCCCTTGGCTTTGGTTGAGCGACGACCAGGGCTTGCTTGTCTGCTTGGGGCAGGTAATCTTTCCCATACTTCCATTGGAGTAATCTGCTTTGAGTGTTCCACCAGAGGCTTCTTTGGGTTTTGAGGCCTCCTTGGTGGGTTTGAGCCTCGGTTTGAGCTGATTGATTTTTTGTCCTCACTTTCTCTGTCTGCGAGCGAACAGAACTTGTCTGAGTTTGAAAGCCAATTGCAGATTCTTATCAAGCTAGATAACTGACCAACGCATTGGCGACCGTGAAGGCTATCACGGTGGTGTAATCAACCAGGTTGCGCTGAATTTCTTTCCAGGCCTTCACATTAATGCCTGCATTTTGGTTGTGTAACAATTTTAAAATGAGGGCGGTGACCTCTTCGATCTCCCCCGGAAAGCGAGCCATGAACTCGTGAATCTTTGGAAGATTCTTTTCCTCCCGAAGTTCAAATTGAGCTCCCTCCGAGGCTCCCTCCCACAATTTGAGCGTTGGGACGTGGTTTTTCACCCACTGGGTTAATTCACTTGTCTCCCCTGGGCTGCTGAGGTTTTGTTACTCGAAGCTTTGGAGTCCGCAGAGGAAGGGATGATGACACTGTCTGGGTTGGTGTCTTCGTCAGAGACCAATAGGGTCGTCTCAATGTCAGACAACCCTTGATCAGTGGTGGTTAGAGGTAGCGACACCGTTAGAGCTGGATTGTTTTTTATATATTATATATTTTTTCTACGCAGATCTACTACAATGAACTAGCCAATTAAAATCCATAACAATTGACGTCCGATATGATGTGCATCGAGGATCTATTGGTCTAGCTAGAAGCTACTGCCCTACTTTGATTTAGTATGGCCACTATGTCGAAATTTTTGATTCGTAGAGCCATATGTCTTTATGAAAAGGCTTCCTCTTGGGGATAGTGGTGCTCAAAGTTGCTGTACGGCACTAATTTTTTTTTTAAAGTGTGAAACGTATAATCTTAATGTCCCAAATATTTGTGGATAAGACGTTTAATTTTGTTAAGAGTGCTAAATGCGCTCTTTCTTTAGTTTTGTTTCTATACACAATACGTCATAGATACAGCAATATTTTCATTCACCAGAAATATCCGCTTCCACTTTAAAAACTGTATATTAATTCGACCCAAAAATAAGAAACCATCTAATTTGCGTAATTCTAAAATTCATCAAGTAGTTGACATTGAACTAAATTTGTTTATGATTTTGGTACGAACGTGAAACTAAGCAATTCAGAGCACTACTTAACCACGGAGACACCTTACGACATTCGAACAAATTATGCATTACTGGACTAACTGTATTCAGTAATTTTCCAATTGGCTAATTAAGCAGAATTTTTTAAATTAGGTATGTTAATTGATTGGATGATGATAATAAGATTAGAATTTTATTTAAATGACCGTTAAAGCAAAAAAGAGGCCGGTGATTTGAACTAGTTGAACAAATTATGATCATGTTTTAAGATGTGTAATTGGTGTTTGGTGTTACCTACATATACCTACATCTTATTAGTTCGATAGTAGCATACCTACAAGATACAATAGCAAAGCAAAAGGCAAACGAAATGAAATTCTGCTTCCACTATCGTTTCTCAAAAAATTGGCACATTTTTCCCATTTAGTCGACCTTCGAGATCCTTTTAGGCTTTTACTGCGCCTGAGAAATAATATAATTCAGAACACTGGTTTAGTAGTTGCAAAGACAATACCATGAATGGAAATTTATTCACGTAAATAGCACCTAGCACATCTTCCCACGGCATATTACGTATTCGTACATTGTTTATTATTTTATGAGCACATGCGTCAGCCAAGCTCACATCGTACGGAATTTCTTGCCAAAAAGTCGATTAGTTTAATTTCGAGTTATTTCAGAGTAGTGCATGTTTTATTTACAACAAAGAAAAATTTATTTGATAAGAGACAGAGTACCAGTATAACTTCGAGGTTATATGATAATAGCCTCTATTTTTAGTACTAACAATTACCGAGACAATTACCTACAAATTTATCAGTTTGATAATTAAAGTTATTAAAAAACCAAACATAAATAACCAACTGACTTCCTACAAAATGCCAATAATATTAGTAAGTACTAAGTATGTCCGAAGTACTTAATTTAAATCGCTTAGTACGTACCTACATACTACATAGCGATCAAAAATGTGTGACCGTTGAGTCACCCTTGGAATTTTTGTTTACATGGAAATCGTACTTAACTTGAACTTCCAAAGGCGACTCGACGTCACCCATTTTTGATCGCCCGATACTTTGTACTGTAAAGTGTAACCGTAACGTTAACTAAATAACCTAAAAACAAACGCTAAACGAATTTATTTATGCAATTCGGCAAATTTATATGGCGCTTCGATACTAACCGAAGCTGCATACTAACAACTGGTTTAACGTAGGTCGTGGTCCAGTTTTTATTATGTCAAGAATGGAATTTGATTTAGCAATAGATAAGACAATATGGCAAATCTAACGATTAATAATGAATTAAGGCAAATTGATTAATTTTTTGTGAATTAAAATAAGTAGCATCAATTGAAATAATGTAGTCTCATATTTTTATATTTTTCTTACAGATTATGATCAATATGGCTTACTGCTGGTTAATACTGATTGGCCGGTGTGTCCAAAAATTCGTATTTGGCCAACTGCGGGTGTCCGAACAGCAACATTTAGAAGAGAAGTTCTGGAATTTCGTTTTTTACAAATTTATATTCGTATTTGGAGTCATTAACGTACAGTACTTGGAAGAGGTACTTTTGTGGTGCTCGTGGTTTTCCCTGTTAGGCTTTCTACATCTGTTATCTCAACTTGGAAAAGATCGATTTGAATATGTAAGTAATTTTAAAAATCGTGCTTTACGCTAATACTTTCGTTTTCAGCTGTCATTTTCACCAACTACACCGGCCTGGAGCCATGTGAAGTTGTTGGGACTGCTAGGATCCATCTTTGTTTTTTCGTTGTTTATGTTGCTTATATGTATTTTTGTTGGATTTTTCCAAGGACTAAATACGTTCGCGTTTATGTCGGCAGAGGTAATCCTTCTGGGCATTCGAACTCTACATGTAATTGTCAGATATGCCTTACATCTATATGACATGTGTCGTGATACCAACGGATCTTTAAGTAGGGATACTGCCACAGTGTTAGAAAAACGTGGCCCAGTCATATACTACATAGAATTAGGATTTGAACTTACCGCTTTGATAATCGATTTTGTTCATCACATGCACATGTTACTATGGAGTAATATATTTTTGTCTATGGCAAGTCTGGTTATTTGCATGCAGTTAAGGTACTTATTCCACGAAATGCAAAGGCGATGCAAGAAGCATAGAAACTATCTGTGGGTCCTAAATCATATGGAACAGAAGTATGTAATCTCTCATACCTTTAAATATCTTGCTAACTGGATTTTATCTATCAGTTATCCCATGGCCTCTGCGGAAGAAATAGCAGCAAATTCTGACAATTGTGCGATATGTTGGGAGAAAATGGAAACTGCAAGGAAACTTCCGTGTTCGCATCTTTTTCATACGTAAGTTCGCTATTTTTATTATTAATAATCTTTTCCCACGATTATAATGTATTCACTGTATACCAATTAGTGGTTGAATGAGCCAATGGGAATTCATGTTCCCTTCATCTTACTTGTCTATTTTTTGTTTAGGTCATGTAAACAGGGTATTTCGTAATAAATTATTTATTTATAACGCATCTCATCACACAATTATAATAGTCCAGTCAAATTACGGATTGGGCTGGATTGTCATTTCACTCAACGACACCAAGCGTATTCTATGTAAAAAAATCCGCTGAATCCGAAAATCATAGTCCCACCGGTCGGAAACGCCCGGAACATATTGTTATAAACAATAAACGAAGAAAAAATGGGAAAATGTCGTGTTTTTTCCCATTTGACTGCCAATATCTCGTTAACTATTGCTCTGAGGGAAAAAATGGATAGAAATGAACTTGTTTAGAAGAAAATTTTCTATAAGATACAGTTGGTCCGGAACGCTCATTTTCAACTGTAATTGTTTTTCAGGGAAAAACGTAAAAACAGTAATCTCTAAAATTAACACTTTGTTATTACTAAGTAAAATTCATTCGATCTTTTTGAAAATCCGTATTTACTAACTTCTTTTGATAACAAAACAATATGACAAACCAGATCACCGTAGGTTTTATACTCATTGATTAATTAAATAAACAAGTAGAGAAAGGGATGCTTTGTCTTTCAAACTGGGGGACTACAAGAGCGTTCCCAATTTTTTTATACATAGTGGAACCGTAAAACAATCTTTTCCAATAATTGTCTCGATCATTTTTGCAAATCAATGGACTGTGGAATTTTTTTAGTTAACTAACAAATCGAATAGCTTCCGAGATTTAACAAGAAAAGTAACTCTATAATCGGCCCTTGGCACTCGGATTCATAAAAATCATTCATTTTGGTGAAATAGAAGCATGAAAAAAGTGCAGGTTGTAAATAAGAATCGATCGGTGCGACCCAATTTGCAAAATCATTTTTGGTTGTTTCGAAAACTGGCTTCAAAGTCAAAAGCTGATTTCTCGTGAACTAATAATCGGATTTGGACGTATTTTTTTTTAATGTACGGCTTTCCAAGAACTTTACATTCGCATATTATAGAGATATTATTTTGTTATATTTCGGGAGTTATTCCATTTGTTAACTAAGAAAATTCTTCGGATTTTGAAAAAAAAATTGCACAGTCCGTCCATTTGCAGGAATCATCGGGACAATTATTGGAAAAGATTGTTTTAGGGTTTATAATATGTATAAAAAAATTGAGAACACTCTTGTACTCCCCCAGTTTGAAAGACAAAGCATCTCTTTTTCTACTTGTTTATTTAATTAATCAATGAGTATGAAACCTACGGTGATCTGGTTTGTCATATTGTTTTGTTATCAAAAGTAGTTAGTAAATACGGATTTTCAAAAAGATCGAATGAATTTTACTTAGTAATAACAAAGTGTTAATTTTAGAGATTACTGTTTTTACATTTTTCCATGAAAAACAATAACAGTTGAAAATTAGCGTTCCGGACCAACTGTATCTTATAGAAAATTTTATTCTAAACAAGTTCATTTCTATTCATTTTTTCCCTCAGAGCAATAGTTAACGAGATATTGGCAGTCAAATGGGAAAAAACACGACAATTTCTCATTTTTTCTTCGTTTTTTGTTTATAACAATATGTTCCGGACGTTTCCGGCCAGGGGGACTATGATTTTCCGATTCAGCGGATTTTTTTACATAGAATACGCTTGGTTTCGTTCAGTGAAATGACAACATCCAGTTTATACTACTTTTAGAGCTAATTTGACTGGACTATAAATAATAAATTTAGATTTATTGACATTTTAATTTAATTAACTCTTTTCATATAATTAGATTTTTCCAAAAAAAACCAGAATTTCAAGGAATTCTGTACAATTTAATATGGAAATTGTTGACAGACCTAATCTAATAAACCTTCAATTCAACACCTACATCGTCTGACAGTCCTTCAGGAACGGTACACTAAAAATGCGGTCAACCAATTTCATCGGCTGAAATTTGGCGCTGGAAACAGCTGTGTATAAGTGCTGGATACGGCTGAACGCGCCCATTCAAAATCATTAGGGACTGGTTATTTGATTTTTCCATTAACACTTCCCCTAAAAATCAAAGTCTTGACAGAATAGAAAGAGGATTCACTCACAAACAGGCACTTCACTTACTCAGATGATGCTACGAAGGGTCTCGAAGCGCTGTCTAGTGAGAGGTTTGATGAGCAGATCAGCTTCTAATTGTTAATCTGAATCAATTCTAATTTGACCAGAATCCAAACTCTCACGGATGAACTTCCTTCTGATGTCAATATGCTTTGTGGGCGTTGCGTTTGGAAAATAGGATTCCTTATTGGATTAATGGCGTTTTGATTATCCACTTTTTCAACACAGGGGTACATTTGCAGTCTATTTCATCGAGAATCCTTGTGATCCAGTTTCCCCTACAGCCAAACAAGCCGCAACAGTCTCTGATTGCGTTATAGATGTAGACGCACTGTTCTGCCACTTACTTGACCCAGCAGTGGGACTATCAGCGTACTTGAAAAAGATTTGTGTCGTTTATCTTGTTTTTCGGTCCCCACGTAGTCCGCATCACGCAATCAAATGGAGCTTAGTTCAATCGTTTGCAACATATTTTCGCAATACATGTAACTGAATTTTGACCTGGAATTTCCAATCAACCCAATTGGAATTTCTCTCCAATTTATCTACCAAAACTCGCGAAATTTCCATGACTAATAACCCAGACGATAGTAACTAAGTTCTCTTACCAAAACTACGCACACGACACACTTCCGTTATGATCTTTCACAACGAAGTTCCAACAAAAATAAATTCGCAATAACCTGATGAGATCTGTGGTTAAATAAATAAAGAAGTCTTGCACGATGACGAATTGAATGTAATTTAACATGGTAAAAGGTAACATGATATTTTTCAATATCTACTATCACTCTCTCATAGCAACGCACTGGCGTATTCTGAGGTAGATGCCTTAAATGATATTTGGATGTAGGAACATAAAAATACTGAACCAATCCACCTCAAAAGACCATTGATTTTTTCATCAGAACGTTCAACTAACTTTAGAAAGAGAACAGTGAGATGTACACGATACGCCAAACAATCTAAGAATACCAAATGTCTCTTAATAAACAAATTAAGAACATCTTTTTTGTATCCTCTATGTATAATGAGTATATATTTTATGTTTGATTTCAGAATGTGCTTACAATCGTGGCTTGAACAAGATAAATCTTGTCCAACATGTCGTTTGGCACTCAATATCGAAAATCCGTCAGACAACCGTCCAGAATCGCCAGAAATACAACACAACGCCCCTCAGCCTGCTCGCCGGCCACTCAATCACTTCTTCCACTTTGATGGTAAGAAAAACCGAACATTACTTAATTTTACAACATTCCTTTTAGGATCAAGATATGTCTCATGGCTACCAAGTTTCTCAGTAGAGGTCAGCCAATTGCCGCGATTAAGTCGCGCACCCGCAAGTAACTCTCAGCTTGACGCCATGGCGCGGCAGGTACTTGTATTCATCACAGATCACCAGATACTTATTGCAATGTTTGTATTGCAGGTACAACAGTTATTTCCCCATTACCTACTTCCCATAATCATTGAAGATCTACGTGTGACAAGATCTGTTGAATTGACAATCGAAAATATTCTCGATGGTCGACTGAACTCGCCAACGTTTAGGGAGACCGAACCAATAGTGCCATCTGAAAATAACCCATCCCTCTCGATTTTGCAACGGCAAAGCAGCACAGAACAGCCTGATACTTCGACTTCGCAAAATTGGGATGAGGTCAATGAGGAAAATGTAGACAAGTAAGTTTTGTTTTTCTCCTAACTTAGCATCTAGTAGGGTATCTCCAACGTGAGTGACTGATTATCAACTATACATGTAACTAATGAAATCTATTTGATTCAAATAATGCTAGCGGCAAGTAATAGAAATAATTTTAAAGTGGCGTAACACACTTTCTATTTTTTCGAAGGTTTTTTTGTCAAAATCTTCTATGTCTATGAATGCTTCCAGGCCTGTTTATAGTCTAGCGATCTCTCAGTCCGCCTTACGACGCAGTGCAGGGTTGACTCTGTAGATCTTCCTGGAGAGTATACGTTTGGATTAGGGTGCAGCGAAAACCGTGTTAGCTCTGTATCCCTTATGTATCTACCGCACAATCTTTCAAGAGTCTTAAGAAAAAAAAACATCAAACTAATTGGACCATATGCTTAGGTGTGGAGTAATCACCTTTGCCAAGTTGGGGGATAAAGACAATTTTTAGCGCATGTTTTAGGAATTAAAAAAAGGTGCTATTGTTTGCGTTTTGTCCCTCCGCCCGCCCGGACCCACTTCTGCCGTTTTGAACTACTTCTAGGGGAATGGGAAAATGGGGGGGGGGGGGAACACATGTTCTATCCTTCATGGTATTCTAATGAAAGGTCTCATCGAAATAATTTGGTTTGTACAAACTATAACTCTCCTGTGCCACTATTTTTCGAGATCAGTGAGCGACGGGGCTTGAGGGGAAGGGGGGGTTAAAAATTAATTTTATCTCATTGTATTCTAATTAAAGGTCTCAATGAAAGGAACCGTTTTCTACAAACTACTGCCCTTCTTTCTGTCCTTTGATCAAAGTACGGGGTGGAGAGCGGAACTAGTTTGATCCTTCATGATACTCTAATGAAAGGTCTCAACGAAATGAATTAATTTCTACCAACCATAACTCTCCTCCTCGACCTCTTATCATGATCGGGTATTTTCCCTTATACCTCAAGAACGGATTGTCGGAAGAGGGTGCTCACAAAGGGCGATTGAGACGTCTGCAAGGAATATATCCATTGGTGATGTCAAAACAGAAGCTATTTCGGTTTAAAAAAATGCATTTTATCTGCACAGGAGTTGTGCACAATTTATACTTGTTTATTTTCATTTCCTACCATTGTTTATGTACGTATCTGAAAGCGATACAGCCCATACATATTCTCACTAGGTCGTTGACAATAACATCCAGTCCCTATTGCAGAAGGACTGGTATTATGCCGTCCATTTCTGGTGATTTGTATGCTGAGAACGATTTCACCGCCCAGGTCACCCTCGCCACATACACCATCTGCCTGTCAACCGCCCAGTCATTTTCTGTAGAAGTAAAGAGGGTTTTGCCTCTGGTCAGTTAGAGTATAACGCTGTAGTGGCTCCGGGAAAGTGAGCGTCTTTCAATACCTCAGCTGTGTCAGAGAGGTTGTCTGTGTAGGAACCATACTCTCGTATGAGGCTCGCTGGGTTATAATATGAACTGTTTGTAAGAATTTTATTTAGGTGGGATGCAGGGGAGGTGGAATCTATATAGAGCTGCAAAAATCTAAGAGACAAATCGAAGAACACTCCAGTCTCGGATTTCCGAAACTCATTTAGACTCCCGCGCATCCTAGAGGTGCACACTGAATGTCCGTCAATAGAAACAGCCACTAACCCCCCGTCCTCCCGACCACGCTACAAAAGGAAAAGTTAAAGCCATTTTACATATAGAAGTGGCCGCCATTTTGTTTGTCCGATTCACGAACCGGACCATGGTACAATATTATTGTACCATGAACCTGACCGTCATATTTATGAGTGACACCAACCCATCAAGTTTGATGGAAATCACTTTATAATGCAAAAAGTATTCTTCAAAATGCGAGAAGCGTTCCAATATGGGAGAATTTGCTGATTCACAAACTGAACCGAGATATTTATTTATGAGTTAGGCCAACCCATAAAAATTTTGGAGGAAATTGCTTCATAATATGAAAAGTTACAGCCATTTACCTATTTAACATATAAAAAATGTCCGCCATTTTGTTCTAATATGGCGGAATTGACTGATTCGTGAACTTGATGGAGGTATTTACGAATTACACCTACCCTGGAAATCGGTTCATAATTACGAAAGTTAGAGTGTTTCTTGGAAGTGATGTATATGTATAAATCTATAAATATACTGGTACCATTACAATAGGTCTACCTAATACATATGTTCGGAACCTTTATGCGTAGTTCAATCTTTTTGGAGTTGCATAGAATGATTGGGACCCCCGCTTAACTGAAGGCCCTATGCCTTTATTGCCTTCATAAGTAGCTACCTATTTTGTAACACTGATGTTTTCAGTGACGACGGAATTGCGGTCGGTAGTCGTTTTTCCAAATCGTCAAGCGAACGTGAACACATATTACACAAGAGGAAAGAAAAATTAATTCAATCGGCGCGGAAGAGGTACGTTGACAAGCAGCGAGCAACACCTAACTCATAGGTAATGTCAAATGGCAAATCAAAGAATTCGGCTCAATTCGTGAAAGTTTGCGAAGAATACTGTGAGATTTTTTCATGGCAAAATGTATTTTCATATGATGTATGTAATTAGTTTGTAAGAAAAAATTACAGCTTAATACATAGAAGGAGAAATATTTTTTATAAGTTAACCAAATAATATCACTTTTCCATTTGCAACAATCTTACTCATGTTATTGAATAGTCGTTATTCGCTGCTAACGACAGAAGGCAAGCAAGAATCGAGGTGCCAAAGTTTAACACAAACCTTCGTGTGGAAATAATTGATTGCAGGTGCCAATACTCTTACAATTTCATTTTACTTCTCGTCGACAAATGTAGATGTGATAAATTTGCCATCCATCCAACAAGCAACCTACAGAATAATTGACACTACGTTTACTCCACCTAGGTATTTGTGATAAACTTTAACCGCTCTGTAGTTTAGTAAAACCTTACTTTGGTATAATATTTATTGGATTAATTTAGTTTAGTAAACGTTTTGACTGTAAATTGATGTAGGCGTTTGAACCTATAAGGAAAATATTGTTACACCGGATTACGGTATAAAGAGACTGATTACAGCAATTTAACGAACTTAATTTACATTGATGTTAATTTTTTATGTTGAACCTGAGAGGGAATTTTTTTAACTTTAGGTATATACTAGCTTTATTTAGTGATAGCCATCTAATAATTTAGTGATGATTTTGTACAACTTAAAGTAATTTATCAAAGTGGTTATTCATCAAGTAAAAATCGACTGGAGTATTTGTGTGATAGATGTGTTTAGTTATAAAAGTGACTGTGAATTTTGTTGATCATTTTAGATTTTAGTTGTGCTATATAAGAAATTAATTTCTTTACGTTTACATCGACTTATTTGAGTATTTGTTTTTATTTTGTTAAACTTATATAAAACAATAACTATACTATATTGTATAATCAACCTTCTTAATAGAAATAACTTTGTATTATAATACGAAAAACTTAAAAAAGAGAACTTAAAAAACTAGTTATTGTATCAATTTATTTTATGTAAATAATTTGCTTACTTTTTAAAAGTTGCAATTCCACTCAGAAAACAAAAGTGCAATTTGCCATTATGGAACATAAATTTGAAGTAGTGTAAGCTTGTAAAATATCGTTTTCGTTTTCACATATTGTTGAAAGTTCCTCATTTAATATTGTTCACTATAATCGTACGAGTGTAGTGCATAGAAGAGTAAGTAATTGCCATGCAAATTAATAAATGTATGTGTGTCTAACATCACACTTTTAGTATAGTGTACTTATGATGATATATTACTTATGAAAACCCTATATTGTTGTGTGCTTTTTGCTGTAATAAAACTTTTAAACTAGTTCAACATTTTTTATTTTTCATTCAGCATCTAATTATTTTACCTTTAAGTAATTGTACGTTGACGAAATGTTTGAGAAACGTGTAGGTACCCTTAAAATGAACCTTTTGTTTCAATGATGTTGCTATATGCAATGGCAAACGGTCACTACACCACCCGCATAAACACCTGTCCAGCTAACTCAATTAAACTTGGGGTCATTCTAATGCACAGATTCGTCAACAACCTGTTTCTACACACGAAGGTTGCTTGAACTGGTTAGGAGTAAAGTAATTTTAATCTACTACCTATTCAAATTCCAAAACGCCAAAATAAAGTGGAAATTATGCGTTATAAAATCTTCGATTTATGTTGCATTGGATTGGACAAATGGTTGGCTGCGTTTTTTGGGTTTTTGAGATCCAGTTAGCTCTCTTATTGCACTACTATTGGTTATTGTCTTTAACTCAATAAAGTCAGTAAGTATATAATGTTGTGTAGATGTTATTTCGATCTAAATCCCAAAAATAATGACGAAAGAGCCTGTATATGAAAGTATTTCAATTTATTAGGTGTAAATCTGGTGGATTATTTACGAAACAAGCACAGAATTGGTTTATTGTATTTGAATTTGTGTTGTGGCCCAGGGTGTTTTTCCTTTCGGAGTTGTTTGTACTTGCGTAATTTTTGTTCAAATTTTATCGCTTTTGTAAATTGTATTTGTGTATTAACCAGTTGTGAAAAGTAAAAATTTTGCAACTGGTGGTGAAAAGTATCACTTTAAATATCAAAATTAGAAAAAATATTGTTTGAAACATGTTGGAAAATACTACTGATCTCGTCAAAGACTCGGACTTCATACCGATTTATTTGTATAGAAACCTTCACAAGCATACGTCCAACAATTTGCGAAGTTTCATCGCAATCGGATAAATGGCTTAGGCAGACATATACAAACATTTATTTTTATTTATAGATCAACTACGGCTACAAAATGCAAGAAAAAATACACAAATAAAATATACCTACCTAATCAAATCAAATGCAGTTAATCAAATTAAAAAAAAAAACAAAACACACGAGACCTCATAAATCAAAGGGGAAAATATGACAAATCAATTTAGTACAGAAACACATGTACGATCAATTGAGATAAAACTCATAAAATGATAAATTGCATGTATATGAGAAACATCAAAAGTATCGCTCTACTCCAGCATTGACCTCAATTAATTTAACACAAAAAGTGCATGTGAGAAAACCAATAGTAAGTATTCATGTTAAAGTTCATTGTCTCTCAACCAAATTACATAAATAGGAGAAATGTTAATAAGAGAGCCTCTTTTTCATGTACAGCGAATCATTGAATTGTATCAGGTATTCCTTTCGCGAAATATAATACAGAAACATTCAATAAGAGGACCCCTCACCCCCTACTCATATTGGTTACGCACCGTCCGGCAGGGGGCGTGCAAAATCAACAGAAGAATCGATTCAGACTGTTTTAGGTACCTACTTCCTTCGCGAAATAGTTGAATCGAATTGTTCAAAGCGATAACACACCCGATAATAAACTTCCACAGGAATACTTAATAAAACAAGATAAAGACATAATCACAGTATAACAAATATAATTCAGTAGATGTAGGAATTCAATGGTTAATAGTGTAATAACGTAAATTTACTTTTCAAAACACAACAGACCAAATTAACGCTAGGCCCGCCATTACTCCAGATTTGAATACCGTTAACCGACGCCAACTTTTTCCCCCAAGTATCCGTTATATAAATCCCCTGTTCTTCGGCAGCTGCGTGGAACGGTCAAAGTAGAATCCTTCATGGTTGTTGTCTACACAGAGCGTTTTGTATTTTTTTCTTCAGTTCCGAGGTGTGTCGCCTAACCGTAGGGATATGCTACTTGCTTTTAAGGTAATTATGTAACTTGCTTCAATCGAACGCATCTGCACAGTGCGTGCTATTTTGTTAAATTATGTTTAGGGATATATGCTAATACTAATATGTCTATGGTAAACATCCAGCACTCCATTGTCAGGTGTAAATTAAAAATTTGTTAAACAATTATTTGGAATTGTGGAGTGATCAAGGCTCCTGAGTTTTTCAATATTGAGATTTTTGAATGAAAGTAACGACAGCTATCAATTTTTAATTTCCCACTGTTGGCCCACCATCCATTTGCCTGCTTACAGGAAATGCAATCACACTTCCGTATATCATTTTGTTATAAAAAAATTTTCATCCACATCTGAAGGTCGTTACTAGTGTTGCAATACTGAAAACTAATTTCTTTGAAGAGTAATAAATATAGTATATTCCATACTGCTATGTACAAGTTAAATGTAACAATTCTATTTACAATAATTCACTCACTAAGGTTTGTTTTTAAACTAAAAGGAGGCCCTCAGGCTCTGTCGTCCGACAGTTAAATATCGAGTAGTGCCTGAGGTGTATACAAAATTTTATTTTTCATCGTTCCAAATAATGCATTTCCAATATACAAATGTAATGATTATTGTTTGTCAACATTAAAGTGCTTCATACGAAACAAGTAGCATCTTTTTTTATTACATAATATAACTCCGTCAATATATTTGACAGGCTGTTTGAGGACATAATGAAAGGACAATCCATTTTTTCTCATTATGCCCTCAGGCGTCATAGACTGCTTTATATACCTCATTTTACAGATATAATTGGCACATAATATGCAAATGAAAAATAAATAACTATAACGATTTGTATATTGGAAATACATTATTTGGAATTATGAAAAATAAAATTTTGTATGCACGTCAGGCGTTACTCTATATTTAGACCCTCGGGCGACCTATAATCCTTTGGGCCGGAGGCCCTCGGACTCGGTCGCCCTCAGCATAAATATCGCCTTAATGCCCATGGTGCATAAATAGTTTTTAAAGCCATTTGTTACTAATGTAGTTACTGTAGTACTGTTTTTCTTTTGATCTACTCCTCCCAGTTTAAAAACATCTATGATTATACAGTATGTAGATTCGTTCACGCTATACAAATTTTTTTTACTTACATCGAGGGTTACACATCGCGACACATCTTACTCCCATTCACACTCACTAAGACACAAATGTCTTGTAAGTCACAGTTTGTTCACATTCGAAAGAAATACAGTTAACATCGATCATTTTTAATTGCTGGATTGAGGTCACTGAAATATCTATGTGCCATGGCGTCATCCGCTGAGAGTCTCTGCATGGGGTTGCAAACCAACAGTCGTTGTAGAAGATCACGGCCTCTGCTTCCTAATTTAGGAACAACCTGTAACATTAAAAAAAACATTTTGTTACATAAGATGTATATGGAATTTTACATACAGAGTGGCCCAACGAGAAGTATACAGAGGGCTTTTAGGGTATTAAATTTAGAAATTTCGAAAAATCCTCGAGCACGTCAATTTTGTATTCGAGGGGGACAACTTTTGGAATACAAATCACGAACCCAAGTTTTCACCCCTCTACGTAGGGAGCTTAACCCCTAAAATTTTAAATGGAATCCTATGGCAAATGGCACATTATTTGAAAGCCAATTTAATCGTGATTACTAATCTGTTTTGCTTTTTAAATTCTATTGATTCGTCTCGAAGATATTCGCATTTGAAATGATTTTTTCTAAAAAAACCAAAACAAATGCGATCTAAGTCACCTTGTATTAAAAAAGGTTTAAATTGTGCAAAAAATAACAAATAACTTTAAACAGACAACATTTATTTCAATAAATGCTCGAATTGCCTTCCGCCTGCTTCCATGCAATAAATAAAGATTTGCTTCAAAACGCTGCCGTACATGTTGCAAGATTTCAGGGGTAATCGCTCGAAATTGTGGAGTTATACCATAGTCTATTCTATTCTTACACTATGGTTATACGTGCTCGCAACCCTTGTAATGTTCCGGGCGGAGTAGCATAAACTTTATTCTTTAAATATCCTCACAAGAAGTAATCGAAAGGACTTAAATCAGGGAAAAAAACCATTTCAAATGCGAATATCTCCGAAACGAATCAATAGAATTTAAAAAGCAAAGCAGATTAGTAATCACGATTAAATTGGCTTTAAAATAGTGTGCCATTTGCCATAGGATTCCATTTAAAATTTTAGGGGTTAAGCTCCCTACGTAGAGGGGTGAAGACTTGGGTTCGTGATTTGTATTCCAAAACTTGTCCCCCTCGAATACAAAATTGACGTGTTCGAGGATTTTTCGAAATTTCTAAATTTAATACCCTAAAAGCCCTCTGTATACTTCTCGTTGGGCCACTCTGTATAATCTAAAAATGAAATACTATACAGGGTCATTCTTGACGAGCGTCAGTTAGAAAGATATGGAAAAGCTTTGAAAATTAAGCTAAACTGATAAGTCCTTTAAGGGTTTTGGCACATGATGAATTGAACTAAAATATTTTCAAAATGGCGCCACTTCCGGAAATACCGGAAGTAGCCATCAACTTTGTTATTTTAAATAGGGACCCCCTATTTTTTCTACATTTTCGGATTATACGTCGAATTTGGAGTACAACGATACCCCATAGTTGACCCTTTGCTCCAAGGTCTTCGCCGATATTCAAGTTTTTGTGTCAAAAATTGAATTTGCAGGGGTGATTTTAAAAATTTATTATTAGAAAACGGTGAGAGATATTGCAAAACAGTTTTCAATGCTTTATTAAGGAAAGATCGAATTTTCTTATGGTATGCGTAACAGTCTAAAAAAGTGAGACTACGTCACTTTTTCAAAGCTCTCAACTTTTAAACTTTTAAATATCCATAACTCCATTTTTTCAAATGGCACCTCCCATTTTGTTCTTCACCCTTGTTTTCCTTTTTCCCAGACCTTTAATTTGATGCAAAATGTCAAAAGCTGCTTCAAACGGTTTCCGAGATATTCCATGTTTTAGTTGCTTTGTGGAAAATTGATAAAAAAAATTAAGTCGATTGATGTTATTCTTTTGTTTTTATTCGCAATTCGCAAATTACTACAACATTTCACGAATAACGGTATCTTTCAAACAAAAATACAAAAAAAGGAAGCCTGTGGTAGACTCTGAAGAACAGGAAATAACTGTACTGGTGTATTTTGCTGCAAATTCAACTGCATCGCTTAATGATATCCAAAGAGAAATTGACATATCAGACACGAGTGCACAAAGAATGGCGCCACTTCCGCAAATACCGGAAGTAGCCATCAACTTTGTTATTCTAAATAGGGACCTCCTATTTTTTTAATTTTTCGGATTCTACGTCGAATTTGGAGTACAACGGTACAGTTATTCCTGAAATGTTGTAGTAATTTGCGAATTGTAGCCTATGTGGGTTGCGCCTTGTCAGGGTATCTTTCGGAAAAAAGACAACTCCTGGCAGCTATTCGATTACAATCACCATCTATTAATATTAAATTCACAAAATCTTCATTAGTGTAACCCAAACGAGCCATTATTGACCAGAAGTGTAAGTTCAAACACCGAAAAATTTGACGTTTAAACATTATCATAATAAAAACAAAAGAATAACATCAAGCGACTTAATTTTTTTATCAATTTTCCACAAGAAGCAACTAAAACATGGAATATCTCAGAAACCGTTTGAAGCAGCTTTTGACATTTTGCATCAAATTAAAGGTCTGGGAAAAAGGAAAACAAGGGTGAAGAACAAAATGGGGGGTGCCATTTGAAAAAATGGAGTTACGGATGTTTAAAAGTTGAGAGCTTTGAAAAAGTGACGTAGTCTCACTTTTTTAGACTGTTACGCATACCATAAGAAAATTCGATCTTTCTTTAATAAAGCATTGAAAACTGTTTTGCAATATCTCTCACCGTTTTCGAATAATAAATTTTTTAAATTACCCCTGCAAATTCAACTTTTGACACAAAAACTTGAATATCGGCGAAGCCCTTGGAGCAAAGGGTCAACTATGGGGTATCGTTCTACTCCAAATTCGACGTAGAATCCGAAAATGTAGAAAAAATAGGGGGTCCCTATTTAAAATAACAAAGTTGATGGCTACTTCCGGTATTTCCGGAAGTGGCGCCATTATGAAAATATTTTAGTTCAATTCATCATGTGCCAAAACCCTTAAAGAACTTATCAGTTTATCTTCATTTTCAAAGGTTTTCCATATCTTTCTAACTGACGCTCGTCAAGAATGACCCTGTATAGGGTGTTCCATTTAAAATGTGCAAGTTGGCATTCACTTCCGGTATAACTGGAAGAGCTACGAACTTGAAAATATTACAATTAATTCCTTTTATCGACATTAGGGTATTGTCTAGTTTTCAAAATATTTCAAGAGGTCTCTTTTTGAGACATAAATATCGTACATCGGTCCTGCGACACCCTGTATACTAACAGACTAAAGTGTATATTTTAATACCAAGGGTGCAATTTGTTGCCCAAAACAAAGTTGCTATTTACTGTACTCAGCTAGACCAATTTCAATATTAAAAGTTCAAATTTGAAATAACCAGAATTTCTATTTGAAGGTAATCACTAATTATTAAGTTGTGTTTGACATTTTATTGTCCACGAAGAGAAGTAACACTTTGTCCCTTAAATGAAAGACAAAACACGTTGATGTAGATCATGAAATAAAGAAAAAATGTTTTTCTATAATATGGTGGGATCTTTTCTTTATGAGCATGGCCGATTTGAAGAATGTTGTAGAAAAAATAAAGGACCTACAGAAGATTCTTGAGGAACCCCAGAGACTTCATTTACAAAATCAACAAAAAGATAATATTTACATTGTGGCGATCCATGGGTGGATCTGAAACAGTTGTTTTTTAGTTTACATGGTGATAATTTGAATATGTCATTTAATCAAATATAAAAATATTATTAGTGTTATTTAATTCTATTCTAAACGCTGAATAGTGACCACACTACAACATCATATTTTATATTCACAAAAATAAATACCTACCTGAGTAAAACTCATACTAAGTTGGTATAGAGGAAAGGGTTTATAATCTGGAAGTTGAGTCATTCCGCTCCAAGTATCTTCAGTAGGTGTACCAAGAAGTTTAAATATTCGTCTCAACTGATCATCAACATCAGAACCAGGGAATAAAGGTCTTCCTACAAACAATCTCAAAAATTCACCAAAAAGTAGGTATTGTATCAAACCTACCTGCATTAGCTAATTCTGCAAAAATGCACCCTGCCGACCACATATCAATGGAAGTTGTGTATAATTTCGCCCCAAACAAAACATCTGGCGGCCTATACCATAAGGTAACAACTTCGGCGGAGTAACACTTGACTGGAATACCGAACGCTCTAGCTAAACCAAAATCGGCAAGTTTAAGTTCGCCATTTTTGTTGATCAATAAATTTTGAGGCTTTAAATCCCTGTGAAGGACATTGTGACTATGGCAAAATGCTAAACCTCGCAATAATTGGAACATGAACGATTTAACGACGTCCAAATCTATGTCACCATTTAGACTGTCGAAGTACTTCTTTAGATCTTGATCGCAATGTTCGAAAACCAGCGTTAGCTTTTTGTCACTGTGCAAAACATCGTAAAGACGAACGATGTTTTTATGCTTTAATTCCTTTAATAAACAAATCTCTCGTAAAGCAGAAGAGGGTACACCTTCATCGTCGTCGTCTAATCGTACTCGTTTAAGCGCTACAATTTCGTGGCTTTCTCTATTCTTTGCTTTAAATACGGTTCCATACGTCCCTTCTCCGATTTTCTCTAGTTTCTCATACTTTTGCATTGTTTTTGTTGTGTTATTTAATTCTAACCTAGCAGAAAACGAACATAATGCCAACTTGTTTGCTGCTAATTTCAGCATAATCGATACGGCGCGTGTACCACAGTCTGCATTTTATTGGGTAAGAAAGTGCTGTGCTGCCAGACCTACGGTTTTCCATCGTGATTACTATACAGGATGTGATAAAAATAACATTCAGCATTTACTTACTACGGCTTCCTATGACAGTTGACAGTAATCGTTTGTCGCAATGTAGGGCACGAGAAAGAAACGTGTGTATTGTTCCGTGTAAAAGAGAAAGGGACAGCGTAACAGCTGATCGTGGTGTACCATACGCATCGATGTTAAATATCATAGGTCTCATATAATGAATAGCACTTTTTTGAATTTCAATTCCAATTTCGCTCACTTAAAATTACGTATTCAACTTCGCTAACTTATCAGCATCTCCAAAAATACAAGTTCTCTGTTATTATTAATACTATAATATAAATTCAATGCTATAATATAGGTGCTGTTAAGGTTGATGACGTAAACTCGCTGACCGCTCAATGCGCATCATCTGACGGTTCCTTCAGAATAATACTAACTTCCCACTGTTTTACTTTTTTGATAGGTATTCTTCCCGTGACGTAAACCTTTTGGACCAACTAAACTAATTGCATACATCCAATCAGATTCCTTGACGACCATAAATCGATTCAATGTGGAGTAATTTCCTATTGTTGTTGCAAATTCCACACGACGCAGCAGACCCGATAATATCCACAATTAAAATAACAACTGGAATTAGTCTGACTCATTACGATACTTATATTAGTTATTCAATCTTAGACTAGTATTACATGAAGTGATAAAAATAAAAAAAGAAGTGAGAAGGAATAAAGGGCAGTACCAGACGTTAACCGAGAAAAGTTGGAATGATGACGTATCAACCGAATAAGAAGCAAAACTCAGGAAACAAGTGAAATGCATAAATAAAAGAAGAAGAAAATGAACATCAAACTAAAAATAAAAAAATTAACTTATCTTTACAACATTAGGGAGATGCTTTGCGACGCGAAACCAAAACTTCACATTGTAGTTAAAAATAAAATAACCCACATTTTCGTCACATTTGGATGTCCATTCAATTTGTAAAACTACATTTATGCAACAAATCTTTGTCTATAGAAATTTATTCTGTATTTACCTTCAAACCAAGTACCTAGTATTCACATCAGGGTGAGTAACAGGTGAGTTCAATGGAGACACTTTACTAACATAGTTAATTCATTTTCGTTGGTCCATTGGAAAAGGCACTCATAAAATTAGACCAATTAATGTATTGTCATTATTTAAAATAAAGCCAGGATGCCATATCTATGGGTATACAGCCAATGGAGACACAGACCAATGCTATTTCAGTCACAGATTCAATGGCTAACTTCATTATGTGTGCGTGTCGTGTCACTGTCAGTCTACCGGCAGGAACTGCTGCTCTTGTCTTGAATAAAATCCGCAATGGCTAATAAAACAGGTGCTGTAATTAGTAAATTTTACAAGGAGTACAACACAAAAACTCCAAAAAAATTAAAAATTATAGACGCGTATCTGTTATACATTTTAATAACAGGCGTGGTACAATTTGCCTATTGTTTATTAGTGGGAACATTTCCATTTAACTCCTTCCTTAGTGGGTTTATTTCCTGTGTAAGCTGCTTCATTTTGGGAGGTAAGCGAGCTGTAATTGTTGTTTGATCAGCGTACTACGTATTTTTTCTTTTAGTGTGTCTTCGTCTGCAAGTTAATCCCGAAAACAAGAATCAGTTCTATGGGATAAGTCCGGAAAGAGGTTTTGCTGATTTTATATTCGCACATGTTATTTTGCATCTTGTTGTAATGAACTTTATTGGCTAGTGAAGGTGAAGATGAGTTGTATAATTTAAGTATTAAATTGTGTTCGGAACAATTAAAACATTTCAGTACACAAAATTACTATTTGTATTAGAAGTGAAGTTGATACAGTTTGTATAATGGATCTTTAAATGGCAGCAAAAGCTAATAGGTATAAAATGAAAAAATTTAGAAATCCTGGAATGTATACTAGCGACTGAAACAGAACACTGCATCTTTGTCAGCTTCTTAGAAGGGCCATTGTACTATGCGATCAAAAAAGAGTTGCTGTCGTCACCTTTGGAATTTTTGTTTACATATTATTACCTTAAGTACACTACAGGTGATTTAAATTGCTACAAGGTACTTTCAAAGTACGATCTTATAATCATGATAGCTGAAATCGTGAACAAATTGAATATAACAGTTTTATGATTATTTATTTTAATGATCACGAATTCCTCACCTATAGATAGAAGGATATTTTCGGTCTAATGTTACATTCAAAACATTTGTAAGTGAAGAGGAGCATAATCGTGCAAATAGGTACTTCTACTTGTATTATTATTTTCATAAGCCAACCAAAAAATACGTAATTCGGATGCAAATGTGTACTCCGTAAACTTACCCATACTGTGATTTAAATTCGCGCGTTCTTTCGTAAAACGTAATGCTAAGAATCACGATCTTAACATCATGAACGGGAAGAAGTCAATAGAAAGCGCCTACGTGATTTTAGATTGATTTATTACACAGCGCCACCTTTGATTGGAATAGCATAATTACTCTTATTTCTGTGGCACATCCCCGTATATAATCGATTTGTCACCCTGTACATCACCGGCCACATTTATCATAACCTGAAATCTCTTGATAAACAATTAATAGTAAATACCAATCGATTGTGAAATGGTACATAGCAGTGAAGTATTTTAGAAGGCGATCTAATAATTTTGGTAGAAACCCTAACGAATAAGTTCGTGGTTTGTGATTATTGCAGTATACAGGCTAGTTATCCTTATCTAGCTTCTGTTTGTGAAAAAATGGAAGGGAGTTTAACTGCAGTTTCAAAATATGGTTTTAAATTAAGTCTAGATAGTAGTTATCCCGAAAATTGGCCCCAAGCACACACACCAAGATGGAAACAAATCTGGGATATTCTACCAATGATTATAAGGTACCACAACTAATTTCAATGACCAGTATGTTTTTAATATGATTATTTTAAGGTACCTACTTGTTTACATAAAAACAATAATTTGTCGTCACATTATAGTCATGGATTACATCAAACTTGTTAGAAGCAAACAAATATATGGTAAACGTAGTTATTGTAACTGAAACATTTTCACAGCGGGCACTTGTAGGTGTTCCACTAGGTGGTATTGGAGTAGGAACTATAGGTAGAGGGTTTCGTGGTGAATTTTGCAGATATCAGTTGAAGCCTGGAAATTGTGACTACAGTACTCTGCAAGCAAATGAATTTATCATTACCATCAAAGATGCTGCTAACATGACGATTTTTCAAAGTACTTTATCTACATACAAGTAAGTTCTGTTACTACAATTTATGTGTGTTGTACTGAAATATAATAGAATAAGAAATTTCACAGAACATAAAATGTACATACATTAGCCACAGCGTGCCCCATAACAATACACTGAACTTTTGATAGTATACCCATTTCTTTTTCTCACAAATTTGTAATGTTGGGGATTATACCGTCCATTTTTCAGGCATCACTACAGAAGTACCTATTTAAAATATGACTCGTTCGGGTCAAACTAAAAACGGTTACGTTGCGCTAATAAGCCCCCCAGGTATGATCATGAAATTGATAGAAATGGATACAGGACACCTTAATTACACGTTATCAGTTAAAAAATTTGCGGAAGAAGCCTTACATTTTTCACAATCTTCATTCAAAGTTCACTTCATTTCGTCGTAAGTGAGGTTATATTACTCCAAACTTCATGATTGTTTTTCAGTTGGTACTGGTGTGCTTAACATTCCTGAGTGCCAACTTTAGTTAGTTTCTTAAGAGGTTATGTTATTTTTCCACGATTTAATTAACTTTAAACAATGGTATACAACTTTATACATGTGTTTTTAATTATACCATAATAACAGTAAGTAGTTCTCTACATCCTACATTGCTAAGCAGCGATTCATGGAAAATGCGAGTGATGTTCCTTCCCCTCTCGACCGTATTAGGCGGTGTATGCTAAGCGGTGATTGATACGAAAAAGGCGTTCCAAGTTAAGCGGCGATCGCTAACGTAGCTGCGATCCATGGAAAATGCGAGAGATGTTCCTTCCCCTCTCGACCGTATTAGGCGGTGGATGCTAAGCGGTGGTCGATACGAAAAAGGCGTTCCAAGTTAAGCGGCGATCGCTAACGTAGCTGCGATCCATGGAAAATGCGAGAGATGTTCCTTCCCTTCTCGATCGTATTAGGCGGTGGATGCTAAGCGGTGATTGATACGAAAAAGGCGTTCCAAGTTAAGCGGCGATCGGTAACGTAGCTGCGATCCATGGAAAATGCGAGAGATGTTCCTTCCCCTCTCGACCGTATTAGGCGGTGGATGCTAAGCGGCGATCGATACGAAAAAGGCGTTCCAAGTTAAGCGGCGATCCATGGAAAATGCGAGAGATGTTCCTTCCCTTCTCGACCGTATTAGGCGGTGGATGCTAAGCGGTGATTGATACGAAAAAGGCGTTCCAAGTTAAGCGGCGATCGGTAACGTAGCTGCGATCCATGGAAAATGCGAGAGATGTTCCTTCCCCTCTCGATCGTATTAGGCGGTGGATGCTAAGCGGTGATCGATACGAAAAAGGCGTTCCAAGTTAAGCGGCGATCGGTAACGTAGCTGCGATCCATGGAAAATGCGAGAGATGTTCCTTCCCCTCTCGATCGTATTAGGCGGTGGATGCTAAGCGGCGGTCGATACGAAAAAGGCGTTCCAAGTTAAGCGGCGATCGCTAACGTAGCTGCGATCCATGGAAAATGCGAGAGATGTTCCTTCCCCTCTCGACCGTATTAGGCGGTGGATGCTAAGCGGTGGTCGATACGAAAAAGGCGTTCCAAGTTAAGCGGCGATCGCTAACGTAGCTGCGATCCATGGAAAATGCGAGAGATGTTCCTTCCCTTCTCGATCGTATTAGGCGGTGGATGCTAAGCGGTGATTGATACGAAAAAGGCGTTCCAAGTTAAGCGGCGATCGGTAACGTAGCTGCGATCCATGGAAAATGCGAGAGATGTTCCTTCCCCTCTCGATCGTATTAGGCGGTGGATGCTAAGCGGCGGTCGATACGAAAAAGGCGTTCCAAGTTAAGCGGCGATCACTAACGTAGCTGCGATCCATGGAAAATGCGAGAGATGTTCCTTCCCCTCTCGACCGTATTAGGCGGTGGATGCTAAGCGGTGGTCGATACGAAAAAGGCGTTCCAAGTTAAGCGGCGATCGCTAACGTACCTGCGATCCATGGAAAATGCGAAAGATGTTCCTTCCCCTCTCGACCGTATTAGTCGGTGGATGCTAAGCGGCGATTCATATGAAACATGCAGGAAGTGCCCGGGTTTCCCCTCTCGGTGATCGATACCAAGAAATTGTTGCCACATGCAACCTTCTCTACGACATCCTTCTTCCCTAATGCATTCAAGTTTAGACTGTATACGCTTCAAAAAGTGGTGTTATTAAAATGTCAGTCACATGGAAGTGTCGCTTATTTGGTGTTTAAGTCAAACAAAACCTAAAATTGTATTGTATATTATACCTGTTGTACTACTTTTATTACATTCTATTAATTTACACGTTAAATCCAGCATATTTCCTTTTAGTAGACGAAGAAGTTAACATAACCTCCTACAAAAATTTACTGTCACCTTTGTTTATTAGTGGAATAAGAGCTATCACATAAAATTTTTCAGTTTCGCCAACTTAAGAATTACAAAATATACGTAAAATAACACCAGATTTCCAGAAAATGAGGTGAACTTTTAATTAAGATTGTGGAAAATTTAGGCCCTCTTCCGCAAATTTTTTTATTCTAAACGTGTTATTAAGGTGTCCTCTATCCATTTCTATCAATTTCATGATCATACCTGG